TGCGATGCTGCAGCTAGTAAAGCGACCAAAACGCTGGCTTGCATCCATAGATGCTTCTCAAGCAAATCCCGGGACGTCATTCTCCCCTTGTACTTGGCCTTAGTGAGGCCGCAGCTGGAGTACTGTGTCCAGTTTTGGTCTCCACAATTCAAAAAGGATGTGGAGAAGCTTGAGAGAGTCCAGAGAAGAGCCACGCGCATGATCAGAGGTCAGGGAAGCAGACCCTACGATGACAGGCTGAGAGCACTGGGGCTCTTTAGCCTGGAAAAGCGCAGGCTCAGGGGTGATCTGATGGCCACCTACAAGTTTATCAGGGGTGACCACCAGCATCTGGGGGAACGTTTGTTCACCAGAGCGCCCCAAGGGATGACGACTAGGTCGAATGGTCATAAACTACTACAAGACCGTTTCAGGCTGGACATAAGGAAGAATTTCTTTACTGTCCTTGCCCCCAAGGTCTGGAACAGCCTGCCACCGGAGGTGGTTCAAGCGCCCACATTGAACACCTTCAAGAGCAAACTGGATGCTTATCTTGCTGGGATCCTATGAACCCGGCTGACTTCCTGCCCTTTGGGCAGGGGGCTGGACTCGATGATCTTCCGAGGTCCCTTCCAGCCCTAATGTCTATGAATCTATGACTCTATGAACCATAAGCATTTGTGTCATATTCCTTTCCCACGTAACTGCCCTAAAAATGCCATTAAAACAGGTTCCAGGTGAAGAGAAACAGGCTAGGTTCTCTGCTGACTGCCGTAGCCCTCACCACTTTCACTCTGAGGTTTTGAGGAGAACTATCTTTGGCATATTACATGCCTTGCAATCTTTTAGGTATAGAGGACTCAAATATCCTAACATGGACTTCTGTTTTCTCCCTCAGTAGACACCTCTGTAGTAGCAGACAGCATCTCTGTGGCAACAGAAGAACTGAACCAAACCCTAGTGACCTGCATGGACTCATCTGGCATGAACAGCACTTGTGAATTTCCAGCCTCCAGCATGGACAGCCATTGTGGACCTGACCTAGCTCTGGCTCCTAGATCAAACCTTGCTGACAAAGTTCCCCTGGTAGAGACTGGTGAACCCAGCTCAACAGCTTCCTTGCCACAGATGGAAGCCCCAGAGGAATGCCCACCTCGGCCTAACACTTTGGATTTCTCCAAGACCCTAAAAAATGTGGAAGAGGTAAAGCAGATGGGACAGATGAGGAATAGTGACCATTCAAACATCAAGGAGAATGGGGTGGAGAACTGCTCCAAGGTGCTACCAGTAAGTGAGGAGCGCAGGGCACTGGAGTCTGAGCTGGGAAAGTGCATTGAGGACTTCAGGAAAATCAAGATCCCCATCTCCTTTCCCAACAGAAAGCGGCAGTGGCAAAGTGAACTGCTGAAAAAATACCATGTCTGAGGGGAAGGACTGGTCCAAAGAACTCCCCTCACTCCCAAACTGATAAAACCCTGCCATACTGAGGAGATGACTTTCACAACCGCAGAATCCTTTCTGCATCCTTTCCGTGAGAGGCCAACTTGCTATCTGTTGATATCCTCAACATGCTTTGGCAACCAGGAGGAATCCAGCATCTTGCAGGATCAGACCTTATTTAAAGACATGCATATGTGACAGCATGTTAGTTAAAAAGAATTTGTTTTGAGAGATGGGGACCCTGATTTGCACCTTGTGGAACTTCATTGACTTCATTGAGTCTATATAACCAAAGGACAGAGTTTGGCCTACACATTCAGAATGAAGAGCAGTGGTCTTGATCACTCAGTCATTCTAGCTATGGCTGCTTCATAGGCAGAGAGGTCACAGGCAATGACTTGAGGCTGAAGAGCAATAGAGTCATGAAAAGAGCTACACCAGTGCTAGAACTGGTAATTTCAAAAAAAGAGGAAGAAAGAAGGAGAAAACTAAGGGTGGTTCAGGACATTCTGAGCCAAACTTACACCTGAGGAATGTGAACATTCTTGCATTTACAAGTGTGACTTGTATTTTATTATCCAAGATAATAAAATGTAGGAGATGCTGAAAATTTCTTAGTCCTTTTGCATCTATTTTTATTCCAAAACAAATATCGGGGCTAGGCTGTGCAAAAGGGGAGAAGAAATTTAGATGTACAGCTCTTGGTGAAGTTAATAGGAGTTACACATCTAAATCCCCTAGATGTAACTAGAACTGGTAAAAAAATTTCCATCCCAACCCTTTTTTGGGGGAGGCTGAAAATTGGGTTTTCAGCGATGCTTTTTTCCCCCACATATTGTCTGTGTTTCATGTAAAGCCACATTTCCTTTTTTTCTCAGTGCTCAGAAATGAAGAGTTGTTAGGTTTGGGCTAAAAAATGGAAATAGTTCCATTTGGAAATACTAGTTTAGGTCCCTCACACCCTCATTCTTCCTTTTGGGTAAAGCTATCCCATTGGACTTTGTTTCCTTATGATGTACTCTGGCTGCAAGACTACTGTGATGTATCACTTCCCCTTGCTAAGACAGAAAACCATGCTTCCTCATGGGAGATGTAGTCTAGCCAAGAAGCTTCGTCTATAGGAGCAAATGGGAATATAAGGTACCTAATGAAAAATTTCCATGAGACATGGGTGGTTAAAGGTACTGTACATCATTGAATCTTTCCAACATACATGTAACATGCAGGTATGCTGCTCAGCTAGAATCAAGTGCAAGTTCCATTAAGGAATAGGCACACTTTTAAGTAGCATCGGGGCAGCCAACCTACATCAATGATTCTCAAATAGGGTGCCTTGAGATCTTTTTAAGAGTACTATAGAATATCACACAATGTTAGCACTGTTAGGCATGCAAATATGATTCACAAGATAAACTCAGAGATTGTGAATAGGAATCCATATGGTTAAAAACATTCTGACCTGTTGTGATTTTTCTGAGGTTTTATTCAGGAGAAAAATTGTTGTATTATTTTTCAGCAGTCAAAAAACAAGTAAAAATTAAGCTGGCATTTTCCAAGGGGTACCCAAGTCCGAAAAGGTTGAGGACCACTGGTCAACATCTTGCTGTACCTGGGGATGGATTCAGACTAGGAGTGCTTTCTCATGTGGTCTCCATGATGTATACCTTAAGTTCCTGTGCATAGCAACTCTTACTGTTACAGTGACAGGCCAGTATTATGGGGACATTGTGTCATAGACAGCAACACAATGATAGCCTGCAAAATATGGCACAGGAAGCCAGGTGTAATCTAAGGAAAAAAAGGAAAATCATGATCATAACCTGAAAAGGGGGGAAGAGAAGTAGGGGAGATTACTGCACTGGGAGCAGCTGCACTGGAATGCACTGCAGGTGGAGACAGCTCCCTCTGGGCTTCTGACAGGAAGTGTGACACGATCAGCTTCAAGTCAGTGCTGCCAAAACACTCAGGGTTTGATTTTTTTCAAGCACCTGCTCCTGAAGTTATCTAATGCTTTAATTTCTTTCTTTTTTTATAAGAAAGAAAAAGCTTTTAGCCCTTTCAATTACAGAGAAAAAGCTTAAAAACTGACTGAAGTGTAGCCCAACAGCCTGGAAGCTAAAAGGCAAAAAAGAGGCCAATATTTATTGTTAAATATAGCATGATCTTTAGTCACTCTCCAGACTCTTTTCTAATGTATGATTTTTAATGCTTCAAGTGACCCTACTGATGACCTTACACCTTGCCAGGAATATTATCATGTATATATTGAAAATGCCTTTTGGATCTAGTTAGGCTCAAACCATGTACAATGTGGCTTATTTGCAGGGTTCTGGGTTTTCCATTCACCATGGACAAATGTGGAAAAATGTGGATTTCTCTTTTTAAGGAGAAAAACACAAATTTTCTCCTTTAAAGGAGAAACACGCAGGAAATGGCAGGTTCCCCCTTGCCGGCTGGCAAATTTCCAGCCTATAAGGGGCTGTGGGGAGCAGGAGGAGGGCGATCAGGCAGGGGGCATCATGTGCATGTGCACGTCAACACATGCATGTGGCAACCAGGCAGCATGGGGAGCAGCATCTACAGGACCCTGCAGGTAAGTCTGGAGTGGGGGGATTGAGGGCCCCATAGTAAGGGAGGGAGGGAGTTGGGCAGGGCTGGGGTTGGGGACACTGCCCAGCTGGGGCAATGCATGGGACTTAGGGTCTGGGGCCGGGGCAGGAATGTGCAGCCACAGGGCCTGGCTAGGGAGCATGATGGAGCTGCCCCACTCTGCTCTACCCTAGTATGTTGGGTCCTGCCCACTTGTGGGTCAGCAGCAGGGTGGGGGGCCCTAAGCCTGGTGACCCCCTCTGGCAGGGCTGGGGGGAACAGGGGTCTGTGGGTGCAGAGTGAGGGGCACCGGCAGGGCCAAGGGGCTGTGGGTGGGTTGTGAAGGGGACCAACAGGATCAGGGGGCTGTGGGTCCTGAGTGGGGGGGCACCAGCAGGGCGGGGGGCTGTAGGTCAGGAGTGAGGGGTACCAGCAGAGCAGGGGGCTGTGGCTTGGGAGCGAGGGGTAATGGAACGGCCAGAGCACCAGCATACGAGGGCAGCTCAGTGCCACAAAGCAGGGTGGGGGGGAGGGGGGGCAGCCACAGGCGGATCCACGTTCTGGTGAGCAAAGGATCCAGCTGAATCAGTTTTAACGCTGTTTTGGTGATTCAGCCATAGGGGAGATATATATATATATGGTGTTTCATTTTAATCATGGAAAAATGTGGATTTGCCATTTTGTTAAAAATCAGACCATTTAGGATTTTTAAACAGAGAAAACCAGGATCCCTGCTTATTTCTAAGGCTGGTATCCCATGTGATACTTCTGGGGTGGTTTACTTAGGAATGAAGAAACGGGGTATGAGAGAGAAACCCCAATGCCAAGGGAGAAGTGCACGCAGCAACATACCTCTCACTTTTATCCCCTTCCAATAGTGCTGAACCTTGCATGCCTATCCTGAAGAAGGGACAGAGTTAACTTCAGCAGCATCCTGTGCGTGCATAACACTGGTGGGGGAGCCAGGACTGGGGAGAGCACAGCGCACTAGAGAGAAATCACCTCACATGTCTCCTGTACTTCCCAACAAGCTAAACTACACTCCTCATTTCAATATGGAAAATCGAGCAAGTCAGCCCAGAGAAGCTCTCCTGCCTGACTGAAAGCATGCTGATGAATAATGGCTTCCTTTTTCAATTAAAAAACTCAGAATCCTACAAGCAGTGGCATACTGTGGGGCTCTGGCACCTGGGGCCCAATGTTTGCATATGCACCCCCTGGGGACGATCCAAGCAGGGCATGGCGCCCCTCACCGCCCCCCGGCACTTCCACAGGGAAACTGATGCTGGGGCACACCGGGTGCCGGGGGAGGGGCGGTGGCCGGACCTGCCGGCTGTAACAGGTAAACAAACGGCCAACCCGCTGGGTGGGTCGGCCGCACACCAAACGTGGGAGGCGCTGTGGCCTCTCAGCCCAGCCGGCACCCCCCCAGGCCAGCACCTGGGGGCCATGGCCCCCTCTCCTCCTGTTGCTACGCTACTGCCTACAAGCCTTTGGCACTGATGAGACAGTATTTGGAGTGAAGAATTTCTCAGTTTGTCAGGAGAACGGAGTAGGGTTGGCTGCACTCTTCTTCCTTTTATATACAGCATTATTGCAATAGTGTTTTAAAAAGCCCACGCAACCAGAGGAATACAGGTACTTTTTGAGATCAAGCTGGCAACCTGCAAAAACTTCACTCAAGGGGAAATCATTTCACCCTGAGCCATCAGCATAGACTGTTCAATTCCAGGAATACAGCCTGACCCAGGGCTTATGAGTGCACAGGAAATGCCAGAAAGGGGATCAAACCAGAGTCCTTCTAGCTCAATAGTTTGTCTCCAACAGGTGCTTCCGGGAAGGTTGCAGTGTATAATTGCAGTATAACCTGTCCACAGAGGAAATGTCAGCTAGCATCTGGACCTGGCAGTCAGGTTTGTATCATTATGCTTGTTTTTAGCCCATCACGGGGGCTGTGGATGTCCTCATTACCTCCCTTACATATTGTAATTTTTGAACTGTTGCTTGCCACAAAATGGGAGGGAGAGAATATTTCCCTACCAAGAAGCAGGTTGCTAAGAGGCCCCAGCCATGGGGCAACAAGGACCTACAGAGGGAAGGACTTTTTTTCCCCAGCAAGAAGCAGGGTGATAAGAAGCCCCCGCCATGGAGCAACAGGGAGCTAGGAAGGAAATTTTTTGCCCAGCCATAAGCAGAGTGATAAGAGGCCCCAGCTATGGGGCAACAGGGACCTAGGGAGGAGCCTCCGGCCTCTACTACATAGTTCGGCGTGGCTCCCTGCATGGCCAGGGTGGTGACTCACGAGGTATGTCAGCTGCTGCAGGACATCGCTGCAAACACATTTATTTGCCTGGGGAATCTACAGGGAGTCCATAGATGCCCTCAATGCCATGCGGTTACAGCACTCACATCCCAGTGCAGTCCCCTTCAGGGAGCGGGAGGTCTTTCACAAACAGGAAAGGATTTGCCTCCGTGATCCTGCAAGTCATGGTGGACTACAGCTGGTTCACGAACATTTTTACTGAGTGGGCCGGCAGTGTGTATGACGTGTGCGTGTTCAGGAACTCTCCTCTCCCTGGCCTTGTGGAGAAAGGACACTGTGCACCTGGAGCCCACGAGACAGTGATCTGTGGTGTTGCCATTCCCCTGCTTATATTAGCAGATACTGCCTACCCCCTAAAGCCCTGGCTCATGAAACCTTATGAAGGGAACGTCACGGACAGAAGCTGGTTTTCAACTCCCATCTGAGCAGGATGGCCGTTGAATGTGCCTTCAGGTGATTGAAAGGACGATGGAGGGCGCTTACATGCAGGCTTCAGCTGGAGCCAGAAAATATCATGGCCTTTATAGTGGCAGCCTGCATGCTCCAAAACATCTGTGAGACCCGCGGAGAGGTTTTCAGTGATTTGTGGGCTGAAGAAGTATGACAGGCAGTGGCCAGACAGAGATGTGGCTGGGCAGCAGCACAGGGACCGAGGAGATAGCCTCAAGGAGAAG